TTATTAATATTTTATACTTCAGTATTAATTTATTTAATTAAGTTTATAGTTAATTAATAAATAAAAATTAAAACTAGATGGACCTGATTAAAATTTTAGTGAAATTATAAGGACTTAATAAAAAGAAAAATAAATGCGAGGACCTAATTAAAAATAGATGAAAGTATAAGGACCTGATAAAAAGAAAAAAAACTATAAGGACCTAATTCAAAATTAGTTGAAACTATAAGGACTTGCAGATTAATTAACCCAAATAAAAAACACAAACAAAACAAAAACAATTAAAATCCAACTAGAAACATGGATTATGTCAGCCAATACTTTTTCTCGGGGCCTTAGAAGCACGTACACAGTACACTACCCTTGGAATCCCTTCTTTTTGTCAAGTCATGAGCTAAAAACACGCTTAATGGTCACGCCACTCATTGTGGTACATCCTCCAGGGTCCACATCCTACCAAAAATTCAACAGCTTTGTTAGTGCAGAAGACTTGACCAAAAAAGTAGAAAACTTATAGAAATCTTGACTTGCTTTTCTTTTCTTCTTGCCTCTATTTCTACTGCATCATCTTTAGCTTATTCTCTCGTCTCTTGCACTTTGCTACTGTGTGATTTGGCAAACTGCTTCTTCCTCCTCCTCTTTCCTTCGCTTCCTCACAAAATTATTTTCTTCACACTACAACAACCAAAATGGAGTTTGGGATCTCAATCTCTAAACTTTTATATCTTTTTGTTTTTGGATGCTTTGTTTTGACAGTTTTCATGAACTATGATTCCAATGCTCAACTCATACCAGAAGATGAAGGTTTGTTAATTAATCCCTTTCTGTTTTTCTTACTCCTTAGTATATATTATATTACTCTATTTTGCGTTATGATCAATTCTTCCATTTCCATCTGTTTTCTCACTGTTCAAAGAAAAATACACATAAGAAAGGGGTCAACGTGGTGGTTGACCCCTTTCTCTTTTTGAACAAGCAGTGATAAAAAAACTGTTGTAACTTTTGAGACTTGATCCTTCATTTTTTTTTTTCCTCCAAAGGCAACTAAGTAAACTGATTCAAATGTTTTCTTTCTTTCTTTTTTTTCTTTTTTTTTTGTTTTTTCTCCCTTTTTACCAACGAGATTTCAATAGTTGAAAACTATAGTAATTTATTTTATTCATTTATTTGCTACTGCTTTAATTTTATGCTAATATTGAATTCAAAGAACTAAGTAATCAATAATAATATTTTTCTCTTTGGTATAAGGAATGCGATTTATTAAAATTTCTATATTATTAATAGATATTAATCATATCTAAAATTTTTTGGGCAACTTGGATAGATGAATAAAGCTTAGTAATCTCTTTTACATGCACAGAATATGATAGAAAATCATGTTTTATCAATTACTTGTTATGTATTTATACAAAATATCTTATTAGCTTAATTTATATGATTGCTATAATTTCTAAATAATTTAGTCCTCTCACCCATGAAACTGAAATAAATATGAACAATCTACTTTAATTTAAACTCGTCTACTTCAATTTCCATAACACCCAATTCATTTTGACTTCTCTTGCTATTGCTATATATTTTATTCGGTGCAGTCTCCTTGTACTTATAATTTATAAAATGTGTTAATAGTCGTTTATCAATCTTTCTTTTTTTAAATAAAATAAACCAAAAAAGTTCTGAAAAATTATATTAATTATTTTAATAGTTTTTATACATTGAGATATATCATTATAAAAAGAAAATAAAAGCTATGTTTTAATTAATAATTTGAAAACCTGTAAACCACAGTTATAAAAATGATAAATTAATCAATTATGTCATTATATATTAAATAGGCTAAAATATGTGAAACCCCCTTTAACTTTGAATCAGTTGCACACCATCTCCCTTGCTTTTAAGAGTTTAATTTAAGAACTCTGATATTTTATGTTTTGAATCTCAACTCCCCTACTATTAAAATTACGGTTAAAGTTAACGCTTTTTGACATATCACAAATTTTTTATATTGGTTATTATATATCATTTCATTTAAAAAATATAATAGTTGGCGTTTGAGATAAATCTTTTAAGCATTTTCTACCTTTTTTATTTTAAAAAGACATAGTGAAATAAATATTTTAAGTTTTTTAAGTATGTTATATTTTTAGTATATAAAATTACATGTTAAATACCAAATATTTTTTTAAAATGAAATGGCATATAATAAAAAAAAAATGGCATGACAAGAACCGTTAATTTTAATAGTAGGGGAATTGATAGTCAGAACATGAAATATCAAGGTCATTAGTTTAAATTTTTAAAGGTTAGGGATGTGCAACTGACATAAAGTTTAGGAAGTTTTGTGTATTTTAACCTATTAAAAAATATTTTTTTATGTTTAGTTTCCGATGCGCTTATTAGGGAAAATGTGATTTTTGGGCATCACTAATGCTGTTTTGGATCAGAAGACATTTCTTAATCAATATAAGAATAAAAAAAAAACAACTTAGATATGTATTTACCACAACTTAAGTTTATAGGCTGAGCCTTTATTAGCGTTTTAAATTAAATTTGAACCAGCTTTGCATGATCCATAAGTTGAAGAAGTTCATCAATATGAATGCGTGTCAAAATTAAACACAGTGGGCCACGGCAAGTACTTTGAAATTTCTTTATATAGAAAAGATTTACACATGTCTATGAATAGAAAACATAGATGTTGAGGTTCTTACTTTATGGTGTATGATTTTTATTTTGAAAAAACTGAATTTTGTTTGATGCAGTGAAAGTTCTAGAAACAATATCATCGAAGATAAAGGACTTGCAATTGGAATGCGACCCCCAGTTCTTGTGTCGATAGAGGCTTCAAAAATGAGAACTTTAGTAATATCGTCATCGAAAGGAATGTAACATGCGATTGCAGTTTCTCAAATGGAAAAGTTTGTCATGTTACAAATATGTAAGTGCATCTGTGTATATAGTTACAACGTAACCCTTTCAACTTGGGTACAAATCAAGCTCCAATCTAAATTAAGCTGCGTTCAATGAGTTCCAAATAATGTTGAAAAGTTTTCTTTCTTACTTCTTGTTCCTTTCTTTATTTTAAACTAGTTGATTTGATTTTGAGATACATTTCTATATGATATTTAGAATAAGTTAGGTCTAGCTCTGCTTTGCAATAAAATTAATATTCAAATGCATATTAGTGCTATTTTTTTCTACCAGCATATTGGTACTAAATATAAGATAACTTATTTTATTTTAGCTCTATGTAAATAGTTTTAATGATGTGTTTTGTTTTTATGATAGCATTATGATGGGACTTAATATATCTGGATTTTTACCAAGTGAATTTGGATTCCTTAGCCATTTGCAAGAACTGTAAGCAATGAAATTTTTTTTGTTCAATTGTTACGTCTCTCATTTATTTTTAAAATTATATTCTATTTATTTAATTATTAATAATTAATTTTTGTGCCAAATTTACATAATCATTAAATCATAAATGAGCTAGTATAATAAAGTACCCATTTTTAAGGATATATATTTATTTGAAATCCTTTTAAACACTTGTGTTGCAAGAAAATAATTTTTTTTTCCTGTTAAGTCTAGAGTATCCATTGTCGATAGCAAATGACTAATTCTCTCGTATTGTAGATTTTCTAAAAAGGTTTTTATACAAGCCACGAAACTAATTGCTACGTTGTGAATGTTAATGAGACTTGAGTTAAATATAGTAGGTTATCTTGTTTAGTTATTCTTTGTGACCTTTGGATGAACAAATTTGTTTAAGGAAAAACTACAATAAGATCTCAAAAAGATAATTACTAAAATATTCTAATAACAACTTAAGTAGTTTGTAATAACTATTGACAATTTGAAAGTAAAAATGACAATTTTTAAAATCTATTTTATAATTTTTTTAGGACCTTATTGTAATTCTCTCTTTATTTAATTATTTCTTATAATTTTGCTGTACCTAAGCCTATAAGATAAGTTTTTGCAGGACTATTTGATTTTGTTGTGGCATCCGACTTTGCTGGGAAAGAAATGGTAGAATGCATTGATCTTGACAAAAAAGATGTTCACGCCATCCTTGTAGTTTTCTCTATTAGAACTTGCTTTTATTAACGATCAGGTGTTTTTAAAATTAAAATTAGAGGGGCGTATACATTATTGATTCCAATTTTTAGTTTGGGTTCAACTCTAACCCTTACCTAAAATTTTTATATCAAAAAAGTAAAAAGGACATGGGTTAATACATGAATACTTTTATTATATATTATTAAAATATTTTTTAAACATATTAAATATTCCTCCAGATTTTGGTCCTTAATATAATACCTCTTTAACCAATTTGATTAGATTAAGGAAGTTAGGTAAGTTAGTTAATTATAAGAAATATGACATGTTTTTCCTAAAACACTATAATCATTTTCTTAATATCCTCCTTTTTTTTTCCACTTGATTATGATTGAGAGAATATCTATATAGGTAATTTAGAAAAAATTAATAAATATGATAATAGGTCTTATATTTAGGATCAAAATCAACTTAATAATTAGGTCCTATATTAAGAACAAGAGGAGTATAAAAATATTTCTATATAATACTTCCGGTTTTGATTCTGATGATCAGTTCAATAATAAATCTGTTTGTATTAATGAAAGTTGATATAATAAATCTGTTTTCCATGATATTAGTTGCAATTTTATCTCACACAAGATTGCCTAAAAAATTGTGTTCTAATATTTCATGCGCTATAAAATAAAATTTGCGTTTTTAAATTTAATGTCTGTTATAAAATACATAAGAGATAAAAGGGACGGCGAAATCTTGGACAAGACGAAATATTTTGTATTGAAGCTTTTTAAATCGACATTCAAATATTACCGCCAATATGTAATTTCGTCTCTCTCCTCAGTTTCTATCTGCCTTCATCGAGGAAGAGAGCCTCCATCGTCATCAATTTGACAATTTCTGTTTCTGCGTATCGTTTTTATTTTTCCATGTCTTCCGCTAATCCTTATGAAATCATTGACGACGGCGACGACGGCGAAGTAAGTATCTTTTACTCTTAACTTTTCTTTCTCTCTTTGCGTCGCGCCAACTCGCCGTTTCCTTCTGTTCTTTAGGCTTTTGATTGGGATGCTGCTGCACGAAAAATCGACGTGGCTTGCCAAGTCACGAAGCCCACCACTTTACTTGTTGGTGATACTTCCAATTCGCGCCAGATGACTTTACACAAGTTTTTGGGTAAGAAGGAAACCCCAAGGCCTCAACTTGAGGATCCCAAGATCGGCAAGAATGAGCAAGATTGCTTCGTAGGAGATGAAGGGGCAAGCTGCATTGAGGTCGACGCTGAGGCAGTCAAAACTTGGATATACCCAGGTTACAATGACTTTGGTTTCCATTTCCCTTCCAGTCTAACTTGTTTAGCTCCCCCTTTTTTCTTTCTTTTGGGTGATGACTGCATGGGAGTGGATAATATTGTTTAGGGTAATTTCTTGGAGCTGTGAAACTTGTTGTCCAGCTTCAAGCTGTATTTCGCCGCAGTTTTTGGTTGTGCTGTGGACAGATTTACCGCAACTTGCCACTGTGGGTGTGCATTGTCGGTGACTAGGGGGGCTTTTCTTCTTTCTTTCTAATGAGTTATTTTGTGGGATTCTTAGAATACAATTGTCAATGTTCAGATTTATTTTCTACTTCGAGGATGACTGACGAACATTGTGACACTTATAGGTCTGTAAACACTAACGATAGCGTCGAAGTTTTTATTTCATTTTATTTTGTTTGACGTGGCTTATGGCTCAATATGTTGGTTTCACGGTTTGCACCAACATATGGATAGTTGATATTTCTCAGGCAATGCATTGACAATAGTCCTTTCAACATCTCCTGTAAAAGATTTGGATTCATCACAATTGTCCATTCGCAACCTATAGGATTGAGCCACATCCATCAGGAAATTAAGACAATATGAAGTTATTTGAAAAAAGTGAAATTGACAGTATGAAGTCATTTTATTCTTTGGACAATGTGGTATGATTTTATGAGTTGCAGATGGATGGTTGAAATGGACTCTTACCACCTCTTCCTGAATCCAAATACCCATTAAACTTTTGGTATATATTCCAATACAATTATCTGCCTGCTTTAGAGTTTTTTTTACTCAAGCATGAAACAAACGGGCATAAATCTTTGGCTATTCTTGTGATCTTTTCTCTTTGGGTTCTGATTTGAGGTTTGATTGTGCAAGTGATGCTATTGTTATCTTATGCATGAAATCCATACGTGCAGCATTCAAACTTCCTGTATTTTTTCACAACTAATCTGTTTATTTTAACTTTTGCAGTCAATATTCCTCTTCGTGACTACCAGTTTGCTATAACAAAGTCTGCTTTATTTTCAAACACGTTGGTGGCATTGCCAACAGGACTTGGGAAAACTCTGATTGCAGCAGTGGTCATGTACAACTACTTCCGATGGTTTCCTAGAGGTAACGTGTATCTCATGCTTAGTCATATTTTTTTGGCCATATGATGTCCTTACATATTTCGATCGCGTGGTTAGCCTTTGAGACCTTTTTGACTCTGCACGTACCTTTCTTTCTCATCTGTAAATAAATGAGCAAGAACCCAGATGTGGTTCTTCATTATCTGACTGCCAGGAGATAGGGACCCATATTTTAGTCTGTTACTCAAATTTTTTATGTTTATTGACCTTCCAAGTTTTAGGAGCTGAGCCTTTCATTTTGATTTGTCCCAACTATTTTTTCATAAGTGGAATCCTTTATATTGATAAGTTTCACTGATTATGTGTTATTATAGCTAGTAATCAACATAAGTTATAAGACATGCTCTGTAAGTTAAATTTTCAACTTAGAAACTGCACTGAAACATAGAAGAGGCAAAAAGGAGAAAGGTTTGGAGTCAGACCTAAGAACACATTGAAATCAGCTAAGAGCTTCGTAATCTGATATTTTATACTGCGTAGAAGCAAGACCAATTTTTGGGACTCATGATTTATCAAGCAAACAGTTGCCCTCAAAATAATGTTATTCTTGATAAATGATAACTATGATAAATGACTCAAGGAATTAGCCGGCCAATCTCATAAATCAAGGAGGAAAACAGGGAAATAAAGTATCATAAAGAGGAAATAAACATGATTATTGGAAAGTTTACTTTTTTGGCTTGTAACAGATCCAATGTAGGAGGAAAAAACAGAAAAAAATGAGAGTAGAAACCTAATCTTAATGAGATAGTTAAGTTTATTTCCTAATTTTCTTTAAATTTTTAATGACATGAATAATAGTGTAACAATTTTCTATTCAGAAATTTGTTTTTGTAAAATGGCAATGCAAGTTGTTTAGAATGTAGGGCAATGCTCATCCTATTTTTCTGAGGAAGGAGTAAGCTAAAGTGGGATTTGAATATGAACACTTGTGCATGCTCGCTCATGGACATTAGTGTGAATATATGTACATGTTATGTACTCTTGTTGTATGATTTTTAAAGATGGAAATGTCTATGTCAGTGTCAGTGTTTTGCTTTATCGGAGTTTCAGATCCTAACAACAAACGTTAAAGTTGAATTTCACTTTCTGTTATTCATGTATTTGTTACACTTCATGTTGGTCATAAAAGCTCCTGATAAGGCTAGCTAAAAGGAAGTTTAGCGTTAGATATGCAAAATGTTGTATACATGCTACTTCTCCTATGGTTAGAGATTTTGAAAGATGAACGCTTAGTATTAATTATTTACAGAGTTTAGTTTTTTAGTTGAACGGGAAGCTATACTATGGAGCATTTATGTCCTTTTCTGCTGGTCCTTTCTCATTAGGGAAAATTGTCTTCACTGCTCCTTCTCGGCCACTTGTCATGCAACAGATAGAAGCATGCCATAACATTGTCGGAATACCTCAAGTAAGTACTGTTTCTGGTTGTCCTTGGAATTTGCTGAATTGTCCGTCTTTGTTTGGGCAATTTTATATTTCAATTGTTTTTAATATAATTTTAAATTAAAATATAGCTGGTTGAAAATAATTGCAGGAATGGACAATTGATATGACGGGTCAACTAAGTCCGGCTAAAAGAGCATGCTTTTGGAAAACCAAACGAGTTTTCTTTGTCACTCCACAAGTGTTGGAAAAAGATATTCATTCCGGTGAATATTTAAATTAATTCCTTATTTTTGCTGGATACTTTTATAATTTTATTGTTTAGTATATCTTGACCAGCTGTTAGCCTGTGCTTTATAATGAAAACTAATCAAGAACTACTACAAGATTTGTAAAAAGCCAACTCTATTAGATAAGACCGAAGTGGCGGATAAGCAATGTGACTACCGTCAACTTCCCCTGCAAAAGCAAGATGCATGGTTATTGGACTGTTTGATATTATTTCTTTCCTGTTCCCTTGAGTTGGCTTACGAGAGATTGTATACTGCAATTAAGTCCCGTTAACTTGTTGAATACTTCGTTACAACTTCGAAGTTAATGAACAAAACTTGCAATTATCCTTTACGTAGCTCCGAGAAGGTTAATGTATTTTCCCCCTTAAAGATATTTGTCAAAGCTTTTTCATCTACAGACCGGAGTCACAAAATATTTAGAAATAGGGAGAAAAGAGACTACAGTATATCAGTGAAAGAATCCATGGTTTTGGGGGGGGGTGTTTGAGAAAGATTCGTAAGCCCTTTGGCCTTTACACTGGGTGCATCAAGAGCAGCTCTTTTCTTAGGATGCAAGATTTTCCTAAATCCTTAATACTTCTTAATGGAGCAAAAGCAATCTTGTTCTTAAACTTAAGGGCATTTCTGTTTACTTCGCAAACTAACAATTTCCAAATATATGTGCAGCAGTTTATATTAGCTCAACGTTTTAACTAAAATGCATAAATATCATGGATTCTTGATAGTGCCACCAAGGCGAAGCGACTTTTCAAAAGATCGCAGCGGAATGAAGATATATTGATTTATACATAAGAAAAATAAACTAATAACAACGGGAGTTTTGTCTGTCTGTTTTGTTATTGACTTTCCATGTTGTTTAGGTCATGGGGTTAGATACTAAAACATGCTGACTGACAAACTCTGTCATTGTCCAATCTGCATTATTTTGTCGTCAACTCTGGACCCTACGGACTATCGGCTCTGGCTTTTATAAATTGGCGCTGAATTCATATAAGGGCCGTCTAGTTGTAAGATCAGATGGATTACCCCGTTGATGTTTAGCACTGTCTAGTTTTCTAGTGAGTTTTGTGTTATTTGTATCATGCTTCAAATTTCATACCATTTCTAATTTGTTCATGACATGATTCGTTTTAGGTAAATGTTTGGTGAAATACTTGGTATGTTTGGTAATTGATGAAGCCCACAGAGCAATGGGAAATTACTCTTATTGTGAAGTAGTTCGTGAGGTGAATTACTTCTAAACTTTTTGACTAGTATATGTTCATTCCTTTTTATACGTTACCAGAGACTGATTGGCTATGGTGATTTTGTCATTGTTAGTTAATGGCTGTGCCAGTGCAACTGCGAATATTGGCTTTAACTGCAACACCGGGAGGCATGTGATTAATAACGGTATTTTTTAGTTAGTCATTTATGATACATGTTCTAATTCTAGATGCTAAAAATTCAGCAAAGCGGCAAACGGTCCAGCAAGTCATTGATAATCTGCATATCTCCAATCTTGAATATCGCAATGAAAATGATCCCGATGTTATCTCCTATGTTCACAAAAGGAAGATAGAGTTGATTCAGGTAGCTAATGCTTTGTTTAGCTGAATTTTAAAATCACAAGCTGATGCTTACTTGATATTTTGCTTGCAAATGTAAATGTTACCAGGTTGCAATGGGTCAAGATGCGGTGGAAATAAACCAGCAGCTTTTGGAAGTAATACGCCCAATTGTAGGTCGCCTCTCGACAATTGGAGTCCTCAAGAATAGAGATTACCGCACTGTATGTTTTTTTTTTTTTGGGGAATTATTCTTCCTTGTTTTGAGATAGCTTTGCTCTTGTTTAAGTTCCATAAACTTGAAGATTAGCATTACGGATCTCTACGTTAAAAAAAAAAAAAGGGAAAGAAAAATTGCATCCGGAATATGTGAAGGGAGATACACAGAGAAAAGAAATAATGAACAAGCAAGTTAAGGTAGTGTCTGAACACTGAACAGATGTTTGGGTTAAAACTCTCCAATGTTACTCAGAACAAGAAGGGGAAAAGTTGCGGGTGCTGATTTTTTTTGGGGGTCCCTCTCTACATGCATGTGCACAAGGGGAGACTGTTCTATTTGGATTTTAGCTCTATCGTGCCCGCTGTGTTTTGACTTGTCATTTTGATCACTTTTAAGATAATGATTTGTATATGTTACGTATTAAATGGTGACGAGTTTAGTTAGAACCGAGTCTGCTAGGGGACGTAATATGTTGAGGTACTTAGAGTGACATAGTGGTGGGCTAGCAAGGGGAATAAGCAGTTGAAATGGAAAGAAGAGAGGTTTTGACGATGGCGAAGGTAACCAGAAGCATTGATCGCTTGTGAGAGTTGTTGCTGGTATAGACGGTGGTTGTAGAGTTGGCTTGGCTGTTCGTTGCTTATCAACCAGAATTCTTTGGTACATGTGAATGAAACCGTGATGGAAGTCTAGGATGGTATTGGTGCAATTGAAACCACTTTGCATGATCCAGCTTCTTAAGCAGCGAACAAACAGAGCAGTGGGAAGTCAATTAGTAACGGAATCATTACCTTTAGTTGCGACAAATGAAAACAGACTAACGCATGATTTCTCTTTCCTATAATCCAAATGTTGTATTTGGGATCACATCCAGCTTGTGCCCTGCGATTGGGATATGTTACTTTAGAATGGAGTAATGACTCTCCACGTTCATGGCTCGTAAGGTGTTGAAATTAATCATTAGAGGGCAAAGCACTCTGCATCTGATACCGTGTAAAACTCAGTTTAATCTTTTCTGTAATTTTAGATCCTAAGCAGTAAGCTTATAAAATATAAAATTACATCTTGTTTCATCATTACTGAACCTGTAGGAATATAAATTTAAAATGAAATACGCTGAAACCAGCTACATAAGAGCAACATGCAAACAATAAAATATTGCTACCAACCACTCAGTAAGAATGAAAAGCAAACGAAAATAGTAAGTCTATAGACTTCAGAAAGCCAACTGGTGCCCTGAAGACATGATCTTCAACATGTTTAGTTATGTCATGTTGACTAATGAGAAGTCGTAAAAAGTTCTTTTGTATTGAAATGAGGCAAATATTGATGTAAGGGAGGCTGTTCAAGGAAGCAAAATTATAACTGAGGCCTGAGGGCATGCGAGACTGGTGAAATGGTTTTTATACATAGGTTCATTGATAATTACTCTAAATTCAGACATCTGATATTTTCCCCTGAAGATTAACTAAATTCACATGATTCAGGTCTCATAGTATTTAGCTTGTACTTTGTAGTTTATTGCTGACATCTCCTATCTTGATAAATGCCTTACAGTTGAGCCCTTGTGAATTACTTGAAATACGGGAAAAGTATCGTCAAGCACCTCCACAAGATCTTTCCAGTGTCAACAATGGGGATGTTGAGGGCTATTTTGGAGTTCTTATTAGTCTTTACTACATCCATAAGCTACTTTCAAGTCATGGAATCAGGCCAGCGCACGAGATGCTTGAAAGAAAATTGAAGCAAGGGTAGGTCTTTCCACCACTTTCATGACCACACCTTTATATTATCTGTGACTGATGTCTGGAAAAAAATTAAGAAACATATTTTTGCTTATTATATGTTATTTTATGTGCTTCAACTACAATGGTTCTGAACGTGCATGTCTTGTTCCAGATTTTTTGCAAAATATGTGAGTAAAAACGAAGTTCTTTTGAAAGCAAGGATGTCAATGCAGCAAAACTTATCTCATGGAGCACCAAGTCCCAAGTTGTCCAAAATGCTTGAAATACTGCGGGAACATTTCAGTATGAAGAGCTTTTGTTCTCAAGTGTCAAAATTCTATATAAAATATGTTTACTTGTCATGGTTTTCGAATTTCCGCTGTGCTATTTGTTTTGAGAGGGAAAAAATCAATGGTTTTGCATTACTAGTTGGAAAGTAAATAGGCTTGTTCTTAGCAAGCGCACTGCTAATCTTTGTAACCAAAAAGGTAAGTTTAAACTTTAGGAGAATAAATTGAGAAAGTGTTTATCTTCACAGGGTCAAAATGTTAAAGGAACCTTTCCACCTGAAAAAAAAGGTTAAAGGAACTGGCACTCTTAGGAAATTAATTTTAGTTGCAGTGAGAAATGATTCTATAGCTTTCTTTGAGGATAAGTTAGTTGTTAGAATTTGTTGTTGTTGTTTAGATCGTTATTATTTAATGATTATCTGATTAGTTAATTAATTATTAATCCATTGGTTAATAGTTACAAGATTTATTAATGTATGACTTATTGGATGTGTTTGCAGAAGCCAATGATCCTCAGAGCTCTAGGGTTATTATTTTCTCGAATTATAGGGAAAGTGTGAGGTAAAATAAACTTCGTTTCATTATCTTATGCTGCATGATTGGTGAAAGCTGTTTAGTTACTGAAATTTTAAAAGCTACTGGTGGTATAATGATATAATCAGGGATATAATGGATGCACTAGCAAATATTGGGGAACCAATCAGAGCTACTCAGTTTATTGGTCAAAGTTCAGGTATTTATCATGATAATTCTGTTTATCCATGTAGAGAACTTGATTGGGATATGAAATAAAATGTCCGCTTCAATTATTGCAACTTTGCAATATATCTTCTATTGAGCCCAACATGACTAAAAAGTTGACATTTATTAGTGGTAAACCTGAAAGAGGGGATAAAAAAGTTGACATGAAGAAAAAAAGGGGGGAATAAAACATGAGGGCTGAATTGTATTTTGTCGTACATGAAAGGGCATGAATTTCTTTTTGAAAAGAGCAAAGCTCGATACACTAATTCTGCAGAGCATATCTAAAAGGGAATTCTGGCCTCTGCTAAAAAATACGGTAATAGTAATGGTCAAGAATGCTTGAACTTTCTCTGACATGATAAAATTAATCAATTATTATCGGCTTTCCATTTTTTTCCTTATCTTTATTTTTTGGGGAGATGTCTTTTCGTCCTTCTTACCCATTGTTTCAGTGAAACCGCCTCTTACATATTAAAATTCAATGTAATGAATTCCAGGGAAAACAATGAAAGGTCAGTCCCAGAAAGTTCAACAGGCAGTGCTGCAGGTATGTATTCCTTTTGGTATAATTTTTGCAGTCCTTGCATATACTTACGTCGTTTACCCACAGAAATTCCGTTCTGGAGCCTACAATGTCATTGTTGCTACATCAATTGGTGAAGAAGGTCTTGATATCATGGAAGTTGATCTTGTTGTAGCTTTTGATGCTAATGTATCACCACTAAGAATGATTCAGCGCATGGGGAGAACTGGAAGAAAGCACGATGGACAAGTTGATATCCTTTGGTTTCCAAAAATGTTTGTTGGCAATTGTTGCTGCTGATGTCCTCTGCTGAATAATTTCTTGAAGATCCTGATAGCATTTATTCTTTAAAGTGCTCTTAAATGCTTGTTCAAGTGATTCCTTCACGGCCATTACTAGTTTTAGCTTGTGAAGGGACTGAACTGAAGGGATACTTGCGGAAACAAGCCAAGAGCAAGGCTATTAGTAAACACATGCGGAATGGGGGCATAAATAGCTTCACTTTTCATCCTAGTCCCAGGATGGTGGGGACTCCCTTTTATGGCTCTTATTCTGTTACATGTTCTGTTGTTTTCTCTTGATGGAAATTTCAGTTTCTGACCCATAAACCTCAAATCCTGCTTACTATTTGCGTAGATTCCCCACGTCTTTAAACCAGAGGTTCAGTTTGTTGAGCTGTCAATTGAGAAATTTGTTTCCCGTGAGAAGAAAGTAAGAGGTGACTCCATTCAGATACATGCATCTATTGGCAAACTCACAGCAGCAGAGAATAATATACTTGCGAAGTATTTTCCAACCACTGGTGAAAATACGTGGAAGCCATCTCTTGTTGCCTTTCCTTACTTTCAGACATATCCTTCTAGAACACATAAAGTGAATCATTCCTGTAGAGCAATAATGCTCATTGATTTGATGCAACGTCTGCAAGGACAAACGTCATTCTTAGGAAACAGTAAAACTTCCATCCCTCAGGTTTTCTCCTTGTCTAGGCTTGTCATTTATTTGTTGAATTCAATATAGCTATCATATGATTGCTTTTCTATTTTATTCAGGATGGCCCGTGTATAGAAGCTAGCAATGCATCCGACCTAAACAAGATTCGCGAAGTTAGATCAGGTAATATCAGTTTCAGTTTCTCAAGAATTTTCACTATGGATTTGTAAAGATGGTTGGAGCTCATCCGTACTTGTTTTATTTTCAGACCAGAGACAATGTTATTATAGGAACAGTCACACAAAAAAAAGAATAATTATCTTAGTTATTGTTTCAAATATATTTTGTAATGAGAATTGCGATTATCCTCTTTAGTTTTTTTCCCCCTTAAAGACCTTTTTAATCTTGCAAGTTGCTTAACCTTTTGGGGGGGGGGGTGAAAAGAGATATTAAGCATATTGTATTGCAACAAAGTGATTCAAACATAATGCAATTTCATTTTCTTTTGGGGGTGGGGGATTGATGTTTGGAGAAGTGGTGACCTTCTCATATACATGCATATAAAACCTCAAAATATGAAAACCTGTGAACACATCTGCTAGTTTGATGCCTTTCCTTTATTTATTTATTGTCCTTTTCAGACAACAAATCACACTCTAGGCATACCGTTGGAAGCAATGCAGTCTCTGTAAGTTGCCTGAAGCTGGATTCCTCTCGTTTAGGGATTCAGACTGAAGACTTTGTTGATCTAACTGCACCAGATAATATTGTGGGAGAACAGAGATCGCCTAATACAAGTTGCATAAAGAAGGATGATCTACCGTCATCTAGTTTTATTGACTTAGATGAAAATAAAGAGAAAACATGTGAGTTTGAAGAGACAGTTCCTGACACTCCAATTGCTAACACAGTTATGTCAGATGAAGGGCATAGCAATAGTGGAACGCCTGATCATTCTCAGTTCAAGACATCTTTGTTGCTAGACGACGTATTCAATAACGACATCAATGAGTCCCAGTGTAGTCCCCGTTTGACCAGTTTAATTAAAAGTGGTGTTGTTCCAGAGTCTCCCATTGATGAGAGGACTGATTTTCTTCCAGGTCATGATGGTTTTTTCAATAATGTTGCAAAATAAGATCTCTGTTAATTATGTCATTGAATAATCTGTCCTGAGATAAATAAAATTTGCAGGGTTATCAAGAAGCCAGCTTATCATTCGGCACTGTAAACCACTTGTTCATCACCAGACGGAACAACAAATTACCTCAAGTCTAGGGACAAATGAAGAGGTCGTTATTGATAATGCCGCAGATGTAAATAACGTACCTATTGATCCTTCTAATAATGAAACTCAAACTCTTTTATTCGAACGGAAGAGTCGTGCAATTAGAAGAGTTCATGTCTTTAGTTCTCCTGTGGTGGAGGAAGCCCAAAATCTTTTAGCGGATATTACCAACCGGAGCTTTAGTGAAGATTCACCTTTATGTGGTGGAAATGTTGCTGATAGTGTCAAGCCAGCACATAGATTTAAAAGGTTGCGTAAAGCTGACGATGGTAGGCGTCATAGGAAAGAGAAAAGCAGAAAAGATCATGGCAAAGGTACCTTTTGCTAATGTTTGTTGCGTCCAACTTTAATCTTTATCAATGTTTCGTTACCCTCAAAACTGAAGGAAATATTTGACTTTAGCTAACTTTTATATCTATGGAAAAAGCTTTACTGGTGGCAACACATTATAATTGAACATTATATATGAAGTATTGCGGTGAACTTAATCTGTTTCTATTTGTTCTCTGCATTTTAGGTAGAAGGAAATCAATGCACAATGTCAGAGTCTTCATTGACGACGAGGCTGAGTAAGCTCATGCTTAGACTTATTAAATGTTGCATTCTCATGTTATCCTTCTCCTTATCATTTTTGGTAAACGTATTCAGCCTATCTTTCATGGTTTTGTGGAAACAATACATGAGCTACTCAATTTCCTTAGGGTTTCTTCAGAAGCTGACGTTTCTAATGATGAGGATGGTGAGGATGACAGTTCATCGGATAGTTTCATAGATGACAGGATGAACCCTACAGCAACAACTCAGTCCAGAGCTAGCGGAATAGACATGATGGCAATATACAGGTTCTTATTCTTCCCTTTTATTTCCCTTCAAATTGTAATCTTCTCAGCTTCCTGGTGAAAAGCTGTCGGTAGACATGCATGAATAGGGGCAATCTTTTATAGATATAATCTGTTAATTTCTTCTTATTGGAAAATATTGTTGCATTAGCTCATTATAATTAAAATAAAATTAGAGAGGGGATGCTACAAAATGACAATTTTATGTGCAAGTCATCCTATTCATCATATTTCTGTTCTCTTGAATTTTACATGATATTAGCGCTTGGTTTAAGACAAGAGTAAGATAATCATCCTGAAACAAATGTCATTATAGACTTCACTGCTTGGTTATGGTCGTTCAATTTATGTCCTTTGATGAATTCCATGGAGTCCTTCATTTGGCCATGGCTATAGAACACTTGCCTGCTGTCCTCACTTGGATTTTGGCTTGCTTAAAAAGCCATGAGACAAAACGAGACAAATGGAAGTGCTGTACTTGAAGAGTGAATGGGTCCTAAAGCATGCAAGAATTTGAAATTACCAATAAGTTCTCCAAAGCAATTCATCTATTGGTTTTTTCATGCATTCATCTCATATCTTACATTATTGGGTCAGATTTGAGCATTGTCAGGCTCAGTTGAAGGTAGTTCTCCTAATTTTGAATTTTTTTCATCCATGGGATTCTAACCCTTGACTTTACTTAAAGGAATCAAGTTCTTTTCACCCAACCAACTATCGTTGGTTTCTTTGTTAAACTTCTTCGTTGCTTGGTGAAGAATTCCTTAAAACAAGGATTTCTTCACCGTCCTAACTCTTTCGCTATTATTCCAAAATTGGATTTCAAAACTAACACATCTGCATTAGCTTTTGTAGCCTAGTTAGAATTGAAGCATGTACAAAATACGTTTTCCATTAGCGGGAGAGGGAAAGAAAAGATTGCTTTCTTGTATTCTATGTTTTGGTTTCCTATTTCTGCATTGATCAGAACCCTTATCCCTTTAAAATTTCCTGATTAACTTTCGGTGTTGTAAATGATGCATAACCGAAACTATGTTGCAGGCGTTCTTTGCTCAGTCAAATACCAGTTGAAGGAGGGACCAACGTTTCTGCAACATTTAGTCCTGACTACGTGTCGTCTATGACTATAATTAGTGAAAATGAGGACTCTTCTGGCAGCATACCAAGACATATTCAGACTCGTCAAATTGAGCAAACAAATCAGTCAGCTTCCAAGAGTTTGCAGTCCGTTGAAGGCAACCAAATCACCTCAGAAGCTACACCTTCGAGTAGTTTTCCTGCTGAAAACACGACACAGATGAGAAGTCGAAAAAGAAAATTGTCATTTCATCGTTTTGGATTTCCAAGTGCAAATCTTGAGCAGCAATTTGCACTTCAATCAAACGAAGAACCTATGGATGCTTGTGCAGCTAAGGATATTCTCTGTGATGATCACATTTTTGATAATATTGACCTTGATGAGTTGGAGGCTCAAGCAGCTTCTCTTCTTAAACAAAACTCAGATTTTTCAGCTCAGAAGCAAGGTGCGCATACAATACCTCAATCTCACTTGCAAAATCCTCACCTTTCCAACCCATCATTCGACCTTGGGATATGAAAACTCATGGGAATGCACGTAATAACCATTGTTGCTGCTGGCCCTGGCACTTCCATTGTGGACTTGCCTTGGTGCAATTTCAGATAATTGAAAATTCAGCAGGATTTTGTACAGGTTAATATTTCAGTTATCAATAGCTGTATAGTTTATTCATGCATATAAGGGAGCAAGAAAATAATGTACTTACATCCTTTAATATTTAATTATGCAGTTGGAACTCGCAGGATCATATTTGAGATATTTCTTCATTGTTATAATTAAATGTATATAAAAGTTTGTACAACAACTTGCTCCTGGCAAAAAATAATGTTATGGGATTTCTTACAAACGAAGTGTTTTAGTTGTCATTAATTGAGCTAATACTACTTCTAGTCCTAAAATAAGAGTTAGCTGAAGATTCAATTTGATTGTAAATATAATATTCTAATTTTTTTTTATATTTATTTATTTATTTATAGTAGTTCTCATAGTGATTACACATGTTAAAGAATTTTCTTTTTAATACATATAATTAATAAAAGTATTTTAGTGAAAACAATGCATTTATTACAAATATTAACTTAACTAATTTTCTTAACACTCAAATTAATTATCTAATTTTTATAGAGATTCGGAGGTAGTAATACTGCTGGCCGGTTTGCTCAGAGTTTTGCTGTGTTGGATTGTTAGTATTCAAAGGTTCAGTTTTGAAGTGAAAGCAAAGTGAACCAAACTGATTTGTTTAGAAAAAAGGTTGATCTATAATGATTTGACTTCTCGATTATTTTGGTTTGGTTGTGTTAATTCGATTCAAGTTAAACAAAGTTTTTCTTTTTTTTAAAAAAATAAATTATTGGTAAACCAGTTTAAATTTGTGCTCTTTTTTGATGTGAAAATGCCAGCCCTTTATTTTTTTTTTTTTCTGATGCGAGCTTATTTATACTATGAAGTATATATATTAACCTCGTAAATGCTATTCCTCCAATCCTAAATATAAGACCTTTATATACACTACTATAAAGGTCTTATATTTAGAACCAGAAGAGTATTATTTTTTTTCTTTCATGTGATTTTGTCAGCTATACAGATATCCCCACCATCATATTCTTATTGGTCAACAGCAAACAAAACTTTAATCACATATCTTTGCTTAAAACTTTAATTACAAAAGTAACTCCATATGTTTTAATTATGTTATAGTATTTTAATCATAATTAGGTTGACGCTAATTCAACTATGCTTGGATCATTGGCCCTTGAACCACTCATTTGACTGAATTTTAGTTCCTTGAATAAAAGTATGATCAGTCATCTCAAACTACAGTAAAAAAAATAGATATTTCAAAGGATAATACGAATCCCATTATAGTATGGCATAAAGTAAAGCAAAAGATTAAATAGAGTACATAAAGACTAGGGAAAAGAATATTAACACAAATGGAACAAGACAGAGTCATTCCTTGCATTCCCCTTAAGTCCCTAAAGAGACAGCACGAAGAAGATCAACTTACATAGTTGCCTAAAACTCAGTAAACTTTCCAACCAAGGAAATACAACCTACACCTAAGAAGCATCCTAGCATGGTATTAACAAGCATTCAACTATCTCTTACATTAGTCAGGGTCAGAAGCTGAAATGTTTACATTGAAGGAAAACAAGCACATGTAAATTAGGGAAACATTAGAAGATCACCAATATGTTGAAGGAAGCTGAATATTCCATGGCCCACTTGTATGCTTCACGACAAACAAGCTAGACATGACCTGCGTAGCTTGCAGGCCGGAAGTCCAGTGGACTCAGGGCCGATGAAGGAAATTGTGCTCGGCCTGGTAGCCACAGGCCATCTTTATGGGGTTGCAGCATCTGTGGCTGGCTGTGTTTCTCCCCTTGGCCAGCTTCATCCAATGGAGCTTCTTTCTTCTTCTTTACAAATTCAAAGAACTCTGCAACTTGATGAGCATAACTACACAGCATAACAAAAAAATTCAAATGCACAAGGTCATGATAGACGTACGAATATGTTCTTGCATGTTGGTTTGTTTCATTAATGATACTTAAAAAAAAAATGCCATACCAGGAAACCAAGATTTTTAATGATCAAGAAAAACGAAGACACTTTTTATCTTGGTTCTAATTCCGATCACTAAGCCAGTTGAAGAAAAGTTCTAAAAACTTTCCAGTCCCTAAATTGAAGTAATGATTATATGAAATTGTCATATTAAAAAAAAAAAAAATCCTATCTAACTGCAGCCAAGGAATACCATCATCAGCAAGTATCAGAGATAAACCACACTATCAGCAAGAACCTAATACAAACATATATTACACTGCTTAACCCAAGTCCCATGAAACTTAAACTTACCGTCACCAATTTTAGGTAGTGACAATTCAGTAAGACTCATTAGAAGACTGTCCAAATGAAGTCACCTTAAAGTTTCATGAACAAATCGTTCAACATAAGAATGTAGACAAGAAACGAGAAAAAAAAAAAAAGAGGTAAAATTATATAAGTAAGGATTAATTCAATAATGCTGCAGAAAGTTAAAAACAAACGGATTATTACTTTCCAAGGGTGTAAATGGGTCGCGTAACAAAAAAGGGTGTAAATGGTCGTGGTTCCCTAGAGAATTCTTATTTCTAACAGTGGTGGGGGAGGCAAAATTGCCTCTCATTCACTAGATTGCGCCACGTGTGAAGCACATTAAGCAGACGACTTTATTAGAGATTAAACACCTTATCAAGAGAAAAAGGATATAATTATCGATATGAATAACAACCCTTTATTAGAGATTATATAGAGACTAGCATATAGTTTGGCCACTTATCTGTACAGTTTCAGTATTAATAATGGAGCAGTAGGCCAGAATTGTTTTGCACGCCTCATTATTTATTAAATCATTGCTTTACCATGAAATTTAGCAAACCCAATTTGCAACTTTAATTAGCCGAAACTAGAAAAGAAATAATCAAGCGCAATAGAAAAATCACGTGGGTAAGTAGACATCTCACAGAACCAAGTTTAGTCCATGTTCAATGCTATCTGAGCAAGAGATAGATAGCTTACTGTCTTTTTGCCTCAATGTCTCTGCTGAAATCAATATTGGGTTCGCAGTCCAGAATTAATGCAGGAACCTGCTTGTTATAAAAAATTCTCAAGCCATACTACTAAATAACGGATAATAAAGTTAACACATCGATATCAAAAAGATAATACCTTCTGAAGGCTTGAATGCATACGATCACCCTCCAGATAAAACACACGCTCCCTTATAGCAGGATGCAAGGAATTGTCGACATGCAGAGGCAACTTACTCACAGATAACACTTCACGACTGCCGCTTTGGAAGGGGTATAACCAGCTTTCATGCTTTTCATGGAGGTCACGGAGATAGTCCAATGTGACTCCACCTTCCTCTTCCCTCCTCCTCAACCTCATTCTCTTATGGCAAGTATCAGGACTTGCCCTAAGATAGATAAAACCATCAGGAATAAGTCCAGGCAAGCAAGACACAACAGGATCGAACCACGAGTCATAAATACTAATCTCCATCTCATTCATCCACTTAGCCTCATGAACAGCTCGTACAAAGACCTTTATGCAACATTCAAGATGTCATAAGAATACACTAGTGTTGAATCTCTCAAAGCAGGGTTTTTTTCCCCCCTTGATTTTTTTTTTTGGGGCCAATGTTTCCCCTCTTGAATTGGACAAATGAGAAAAAGAAACAAACACATGCTGCCAAACCATCACTTGCAATCACTAAAAAACTCTAACCAATGCATGTTAAAAGCAGTTCTTCTGAAAAATATATAAAATGTGAGGGTAAGAAACCCCATAATAAAAGAAGCAAGGGAGGAAAACATGAATTCAGGAGAAGCTTTGTTAACAAGGTAATTTAACACCAACTTACTAAATAAGGAGAACAATACCAAAGCATTGAATTCTCACCATTCTGTCACTAAAAACACTCCTCTCCATTAATCGAAGAGGCTTCATTCCACCAGATGACTCTCTTTCCTGCATAACCCTGGTAACAAATACATAGTTCTGAAATGTGTAAGCATACCGTTGGGGCTCAGCATAGAAAGCATCCAAAATATTGAAGTGATCAGCTCCAACATCCTGCCACTTGTTAATGGGTTCAGGAACCACCTCAACAAGGTCACGCAATTCAATTGTTTCATTAGCTATTCTCTGAAGGAAAGTAGTCTTCCCAACACTGATATTTCCCTCAACACAGAATGTAATCTGTTTCTTTTGTGGAAGCTGCAAGGAAGAGGTATCATCCAACTCTTCATCCACACTCTTTTTGATGTAGGTTGTTATACTTTCAGCATGGTTCCTGTGGATGATTCCCACAGAACTCTGAAGATATTCAACCATCTTATCACTAGATTTTCCAAAGAACTGCCAAAAAAGAAAAAAAAGAACCAGGTAAAAATTTAACCTTAACCTCAAAAAAAAAAAAAAAAAGGTGATGTGACACCTAAGGTGCAATACTTCTTCCTTTTATACAATGCTGACCCTGCTATCTTTCTTTTATGGCAATTCAGCTTGATGAACAGCCTAGGAATTTTAAGAAATAGGTGTAAATTGGCTAGAAGCTAATTTTAGATTCCTAGAAGCACTGGAGTCTTCATAGGCGGACTAAAGTGCAGCAAAATCAAATGTGCCATGCGTAGTGAACATCGTTCCTATTTGTTATAGATAATAAATCCACTCCTCACCCTTCTTCTAGCGGTTCAAGCTTTTGAGATCAAAGAGTTCAGACACACTTGAGTATATAGGAATAAGATAACTGAACTTAGACAAATCATATATGCTAGTCAATCAGACAAGTAAGAGTTTTGTTATCAAAATAACTTGAATTAGAAATGAAGTTGGAACTTGGATGATAAATAATTGTACTGAAAATACTAAACGAAGCTCAGATATACTCAAAATATGACATAATAAAGCAACAAGACTATCCAGGCATGATTTATCATTGCAAGAGATGAGGCATCCAGTGATGAACCATG